ACTGGGGGGCTTTGTGGACAAGAAGGAACAAAAAGATTGGCAATAGATGTCAGCTCAGGGCCAGTCTTTAAAAAAATATATAAGAAAAGAACTGCTACGTAACCACTGAAGGTATAGAAACATGATGAACTTAAAAGAATGTTCAGAAAATATTAAGTGAAAAGCTTATGAAAGAGTGTGCAGAATATAGAGAAAAGAAGACCGAATGGGTATAATAAAGTGTTAATAGTGACTACCTCTGAGTGGTAAGAATATGGGTGACTTTTACATCCTTTTGCATTCCCCTTCTTGTATGCTTGTGTTTTCTCCACAATCTATAATAAACTTGCACTACTGTGCTAAAGAAAACTTCAATGAAAGAGTGCCTTCTAACGTTCGTACTCTTTAACTCAAAGTTCCACTTCAAGAAATTTATTCTGATAATCATCCATTCATGTAAAGATTTATGTATAAGAACATATATTATTGTAATAGTAAAAAAAGGAGACGAACTAAATGTCTAGCAATAGTAATTAGAAAGTATGATATAGCTATAGCTATAGGATGGAATACCAGGCAACTATTAAAAACCATGAGGTGGAAGAATATTTAAATACAAAAGAAGTTCAGTGAAAAAGGTAGATTATAAAATCTTAAAAACAATACAAAGTTATTTTTTTAAAACTATGTAGAAAAAAGACTGAAAGGAATTACACCAAAATGAAAATCTACTATGGTTCTCTCCAAGTGGTAGGGCCACAGATGATTTATTTATTTTCATCTTTCTGCATTTTACACTTTTTCTACAATGTAATTTTAAACTTAAAAAAAATGTAAGTTTGCACTTGAGGAGCAAGGAGACAGAAAATGTAGAACAACATAATAGTTCTCTCTGCCACCATTAGGCTGTGAGCCATTATGTCCGAGCATGTGGGCACCTCATAACTGAATTCAAAAATTCGTCCTGTATGGGTGGGAAGAACACAGATTAAAACAAATGAGAAAAGGGGCAGTATATTAGTATGTTGTCTGCACAATTTTGGAAAAGTGTAAAAATAGAAAACTTTGGAAACCAATATATCAAGATATTAAGAATGGTTAATTCTTGTTGGTAGGGACATGGGTGATGGTTACCTTTGTGGATGTGATTTCTCATTAAAAAAAAAGATAAGCGGAGCCAGCCCTGATGGCTTAGTGGTTAAAGTTTGGTGTTCTCATTGCTTTGGTGGCATGGGGTCAGTTCCTGGTCACAGAATCACACCACTTGTCTGTCAGTAACCATGCTGTGGCAGCGGCTCACATAGAAGAACTAGAAGGATTTACAACTAGAATATACAACTATGTACTGGTGCTTTGGGGAGGGGGGCAAAAAGGGGAAGATTAGCAATAGATGTTAGCTCAGGGTGAATCTTTCCCAGGAAAAAAAAAAAGGATAAATGAAAGGAAATGAGAGAGCTATAGATATTTGGATTTATTGGTTCTGGAACAGTGGGGGCACATTTGATCTTTTGTCCCTGAGACTGTGGAAGAGCCCAGTCAGTTCTGGGATAGGAGGGAGCATTCATGGCTACTGCTTTCCCTCACTGGACTCTGGGGCTGAACGTGGGGGCACTACCAGTGAAATTATGCAGTGATGCTGGTCTCTCTATTCCTCTGCACATCAGGGAGCCCCTCACTATGCCAACAGCCCCACAAATCAGGGTCATGGACCTCTGGGCCTTCAGAATCTCCAGTCAGAAGCATTCTCTCCCCTGCCATGGCCCTCTACTCTAGCTTTTAATGCCATCTGCCTCCTGCCACTAGACTGTGAGTTCCTGGAAGGCCGAGGCTGTGGTTTCGCTGAAATCCTGCCTCTGTGCCTACCATAGCACCAATTAATATTTCTGAGACTTTGAAAGGCAGGCAGGTATGAAACAGCATCTTGGTGCCCGACTTAGGAGTAGAGGGACAAGGATACCAGCAACCCAGAAGCATTTCATCCTCACAGGAAAGCACAACCAAGCCCACTGCTTGGCCACTTCTTGTAGTGTACACAGCTGCGGTAGTCTCATGGGTAAGCATGCCACCTAGTGGATTGAGTAGGCATGGGCAGTGAAGAAAGGAGGTCAAAACAGAAATTAAATGGTTCAAACAGATCTTCTGTGAAATAAAAATAGACAAATTTTCACGATAAGTGGAGCAGTGGGGAACTGGCTGTGTAAGGACACGGCAGCAACAAAGTCAATATGGCATCGTTATACAAACTTACCTGTGACACAATACGTTTCCTTTGTTTCACAGTGAAGGAATGCATCCCATCTCACTCCCAAGGGCTTACAAATTAACCAGAAGGGTCAAGGTTTATGGTACTTACTCAAGGTTCCTGTGGATGCTGCGGTACTCCCATAACTTAAAAATTATTCTACCATTTTTCAACATTATTTCTCTTACTTAGTAGGGAGATGATGGAATTTGTCTACCATAAGAAGTATGTAAAGGGAGAAACCTCCTTTGCTAAAAGTTCATACAATGAAAGTTGTAGAAAAATAACTTTTTTCATTAAAACAAATCAATCCTTTAAGTATTTGCTGGGTGTCCCAAGCCACTAACCAGTGTTCTTAGAAAAAAGCTCTTAAGGACAGAAAAACTCAAGTCAAAATTGCACAGCACTTGTATTTCCCCCTTCAAATAGAAGCCAAATAGTGGTTGTCAAACTGAGCACAGGGAAATTCCTCCATTTCCTCTAACCTCAGAATGAAACGAGGCCCCACTGCTCAAGCTCACACATAACAAGTCTGAAAGCATGTGTGGGTTAAACACCTCAGACTTAGTCTGTGTGAAGTGATGTCCTCTCTTTCAATGCAACAAACTGAAGATAGTCAAACTAGACTTGGAGCTTCATGGGACCACATGACTTCATGATGCCAAGAGTACATCATGTAATCACAGCTTGAGAAGCCTATTCTATTCTTTTTGTTTGTTTGTTTGAGGAAGATTAGCCCTGAGCTAACATCTACTGCCAATCCTTCTCTTTTCGCTGAGGAAGACTGGCCCTGAGCTAACATCCGTGCCCATCTTTCTGTACTTTACATGTGGGACGCCTGCCACAGCATGGCTTGATAAGCAGTGCATAGGTCTGTGCCCAGGATCTGAACTGGCAAACCCTGGGCCTCCAAAGCAAAACCTGTGAACTTAACCACTGCACCACCTGGCCTGCCCCTTGAGAAGCCTATTCTAAACAAATACCTTTAAAAGGCAAGGCAAAGGATCTTTTTTTTTAAGTTGAGCCAGGAGAAATCCTAGCCAGCATAACTAGAAAGTCTGTGGAATTCAAGAGGTAACACCTCACCTGCTTTTACACTAGCACAATAATGGAGCTCACAATAAAGTAAGACAGGGGCTGACCTGGTGCCACAGTGGTTAAGTGTGCATGTTCTGCTTTGCCGGCCCGGGGTCCACGAGTTTGGATCCCGGGTACAGACACGGCACCGCTTGGCAAACCATGCTGTGGTAGGTGTCCCACATATAAAGTAGAGGAAGATGTGCATGGATGTTAGCCCAGGGCCAGTCTTCCTCAGCGAAAAGAGGAGGATTGGCAGCAGTTAGCTCAGGGCTAATCTTCCTTAAAAAAAAATAAAAGAAAGAAAGTAAGATCAACCTCCATAACTCCTTTCATTTAGATTGTCTGAGTTTCTGACTGATCTCTCTGTCTTCAATTGTCTCAATCTGGTCAAAGCTACACATTCTAGCTATATTAATATTCTTAGAGTCTAACTCTGGTTATTTCACATTTCTCCTCCAACACCTGTTCACAAACCTTCAACGCCTCCAAACTGCCTATCAAAAAAGGTTGAATCACCTCAGTATAGTATTCAAGGCCCTCAAAAATGTGGTCTCAGGGGCCGGCCTGGTGGCACGGCAGTTAAGTGCTGACATTCCACTTTGGTGGCCCGGGGTTCACTGGTTCAGATCCCAGGTGCAGACATGGCACCACTTGGCAAGCCGTGCCATGGTAGGCGTCCCACATATAAAGTAGAGGAAGATGGGCGTGGACGTGAGCTCAGGGCCAGTCTTCCTCAGCAAAAAGAGGAGGATTGACAGCAGATGTTAGCTCAAGGCTAATCTTCGCCACCCCCCCCAAAAAAACGTGGTCTCAACCTGCCTTTCTGAACATATTTGACATAATTCTTCCATCATGAGCCTGTGCTCCAGTCAAACTAAGCTGTTCACTGTTCAAGCGCATCAATATACACTTTCTCACCTCTCTAGCAGTGAAAAAGATATCAGGGCACCCCCAAAAGGCCATTAGGATCACGCCCAAGTGCTGTAAAAAGCCTGCTCCGAAGGGAAGTATCTTCAGATGTGCCATCACACAAGCACTGCCTTTGGAAATACAGATCCAGCGAGGACAAGACAAGAGTTCATACCTCTCAGCACCTGACCTGGATTCTTTCATTGCCTGTTCTGGTACTGACTAGTCCACTGCTTCCCAAATGTCTGTGGAGTTTTGACATTTCATTGGTTCTACTTGTTTATGGGGTTTTTTTGGTACTATTTTTGTAAAACTCACTGACTCCACCCCCACAATGATGTAATTTCAAAAAAAATTACAGTCAATTAAGATGATTTTGGCTTTGAGAAATTTAGAGCAATTTTGCAAGGCATTTTGAGATCCTATGAGACACCCTGGAATATCCCAAAAATGGAGTTGAGAATCACTGTCTTGGCAAATACATTTGCCTTTCCATGCTTTATTGTTTCCACCCACAGAATGAGAACTAATGATGTTCCTACTCTCTCCCAGTCTCTCACCCTGGATGTTATGAGAACACATGCTGTACATAAAGAACTTTTTTTCCCCAGAATGAAGGAGACATAGATAACCCAGATAAAGCAATTAAACCATAATTCCAAAATCCCGTTATGACAGTAAACATCCTAAATGTTACAAACAAAATATGAGACACTATCACATTATTTGATAACACAAAGATATACAGTTCTTTCAGGTTGCAGAAAGACATTTATGTCACTGAACTTACATTTGGAGAGCACAATGCTTGGGCAGGTGTGCATCCAACATCCAAACAGGATTACCCTTGGGAAGGAGCTGGACTTCGGACTGGCTTCAGCTTCTGTGAACAGAGGAGTTCCTTCTGCGGTAGGGATGGGAGTTCAGCACTTTGAGAAGATAACGTCTCAATTTTGACTTGGTTCTCTGTTGAAATGTTTCTTTCTGCAGAGAGATTAGAAGTGAAGCACTGGAAGGAGAGGCTGGAAAACAAACATAAGGCTCCCTTGTCAGGAGTACATTTTGTCCCCACAAAGCTATTTTGTTTGCAATCACAATTCAGCAAATTCTTTTTGATAGAATTCTTTTATTGCAACTTTCTCTAAGAGGTTGAACTTCTCCAAGCAGCAGTCTGTGGAGAATTCCAATATTAGACTATAACTATAACTATAAATAAGAGTTGTACAAGTCATCAGAGAGTCTCAGACCAAAGAGAAGGTGACAGACCATGAAGACTACTGCTCTGCCCTCAGGCTAAGAAGCCCATCCCAGGTAGACTGGAAAGAATCCAAGTCATTCTAAGGGTTACAGGATGGAATCCAAGAATTGTAGACCTATCTGAGAGCCAGAAAAGACCTCATTTGCTGTAGACCTTTTGCAGAGAGCAAAAGCTTAGGCTAATTTTATGTAGGCTGAATGTTTCTTTTTGTTTGTTTTTGAGGAAGATTAGCCCTGAGCTAACTACTGCCAATCCGCCTCTTTTTGCTGAGGAAGACTGGCCCTGAGCTAACATCCATGCCCATCTTCCTCCACTGTATATGTGGGATGCCTGCCACAGCATGGCTTTTGCCAAGCGGTGCCATGTCCGCACCTGGGATCCAAACCGGCAAACCCCGGGCCCCCGAGGAGCAGAACGTGCAAACTTAACCACTGCGCCATGGGGCCAGCCCCATGTAGGCTGAATGTTAAGAAGTTATCACATGGTAACCTCAGAGGAAAATAACTAATGTAAACTAAACAATACATGTGTATAATCTCATATAATAAGATTAAATAACTTTTAAAATTCTATGACTATTTATTGCATATAAAAAAAGGTCAGCATAAATTAGTCAGTTAATCTGAAAGTGCTAACGGTCCCTCCAGCTTCTTAAGTATCTCTTCTTCCCCATGCTGTCGAGGAACTGCTTAGGTCACTAGGTGCCTCCAGCTCTTACCAGAATCACCGCGATTTTGACCTTTCAGAGAAAGAACCATCCCAAAGGCCCAAAGAAACCCTGGAGGGATGGGCTGGCACTTGGTTTCCCTTGAGAACTTCCATATGTTTAGAAAAGGGGATCTAGATTAAACCAAATCCATTTTTAGAGCTGATTAGACATCTCAACAGGAGGCTGTAAGTTTCCCAGATCAGAAGCTAGGCAAAACTAAACACACAGCACAGCTCTGGGCTTCTGAAGTCTTCACTGCCCTTCCCTCCTCAGCCATAGGAGATCAGAAGTTCCAGGTCTCCCAGGACTTGGAATATGGGCTGGCCAACAAGCACAAGGAAAACTTCTCCCATCCCTGAAAGAGCTCTGCATGCAGAAGCTAAAGGCCATCCAGCTGGGACACTGAAAAGAAGGTGACTGCATTGGATGAGATATGGGATTAGGTGCCTTCCAGCTGGGGGACTCCAGGAACACCAAAGGGGGATGAAACAACAGTGATCACACCAATCCTGATTGGTATGCTGTACTTTGAAATTTACAAATGACCCCCCCCCCCCCATTACTACAGTTGATCCCACAACAGCCTTATGAAGCCAATATTGTTAGGAGAATTTTAGAGATGAGGAAATTTATGCACAAGTGAGTCAGTGGCCCAAGATCATGTAGCTGGTTAACAGCACAGCTGAGTTCAAACACTCCTTTCATGGCAATACGGGGCCCACGAACCGAAGATAAGTTTTCTGTTTTTCTGTGGCCCTATCACCCTTTCCAGAGAGCCAGGACAAAGACCTTGCAGAAGACACAATCAAATCTTCTCTTGAAACTTTCTGCACAGCTGTGGAATATACAATCAAAGGTGTCTGTGGCGCTGTGGCAGAAAGCATGACAATTAGCAAAGTAAATTCTATTCTCCAGGGAGTTCCTGTTCTCTGGCAGATTTTTCAGAATGGAGCTCTCTATCTCTAAGGAGGAACACTGCTCCTGTGATTTATTGTGAGCGCCTATGTCTACGTCCTTGAGAAGTAAATAGAGGATGGTGTTTTACTAGAACAATTAACATACCAAGAGGAAATAATTTTGAGTAGCAGCACTATGTGAGCTTCACAGTGACCAGAAGGTAGCAGTGTCTCATTCATTCAGATCCTAAAAGCGCAGAAGTTAGGACTGATATCTATCTTTGTGGTGTCTACGAAAAACTAGTTTCTCTTCTAATTAATCTGATACTAACTTAAATAATTCCTTACTTTTTCCACACTGAAACAGAGGTCAGGAAAATGATGCAATAATTAAAGTAACACAGTCTCCCTCAGTCTCGGCCATATTTGTTCATCTTTGAGAGTCTTTATTCTTAAAGAGCAGTGATGAATCTATCTGAAAAGAAGTCTCCTAAAATGTTCCCCTTCACCAATTTCTGCAGCTCATGAAGAAGAGATTTCGTTTGCAAATATTTAGTGTGTAGGTCGACTTCTGATTGTGAATGCAATGAAGTAGCTTGTAGCAGACAAATACTCCCACTGAGAATACCTAGGAAAGCCAGAGAAAATTGTAAAAGTATTAGAGCAATGATGAGGTGGCCAGTACTTCAAGAAAGAGAGGCAATGAGAGTCTGCAGCCATTTTTCTCCTCAGAACATTTGCTGATTCTGGGCATGAGACAAATGGGTGGGGATATGAGTGAGGGCCTCTAGTAGGGGAGATTTGGGTAGTCTCTTGGGGATGGAGAAAAAAATATTAGAGGCATGAAGAGCCAGGATACTGGAGAGAAGAAGGGTGGGAAACAGCTCAATATCCTGCCAGATTTTCCCTCAAGATATTTACTGAATTCTGAAACTGCATCAACCAAAAAACTAAGAAAATCACTGTTAAACTAGAATTTTATAATTTTATACCTAGCAAAAATACTTTTCAAAAAAGTAAGGCAAGATTTTAGGAAGAAAATGGCAGCAGTGGCATCATAGTTTTTGGATCTCCCTAAATCACCCACTTAAAAGAGATAGAGTGCTAAAATAGTAAGACAAAAACCCATAAGCAACATCTACAACAAAACTAGGTGAAAAGGGAACCCAATGAAACCCAAAATATGACCAGGTAGAGATAATCCTCTAATAGCTACAGGACAGTATAGTACCAGCAACTACTGACACGAAGCAGGAGGAATAAACAGGGGCATCTGAAATACCTGAAAATAGGAGTACCCCAAAATAGTCAACATGTACTTACTGCAAAACACAGCAGAACATTTCGAGAACAACGGTCGCAGGAAGGAAGAGTTCTGCACACTACAATGTATGATTAACTACAAAGAGTCTGAGGGGCTGAGCAGTCTGGGCTCAAGGAAATCTAAAAATTCATCAGCCAGGAGATAGCTTCCACTCTAGGATACAGTAAACTAGAAGAAACATCATTCCTCTAGTTAAGACAAAAAACAAGCCAGACTAACTTCCAATTTTCATGGATGTTTTCCAATGCATTGGAGAGCTGACGTTGCAGAGCAGCAAACTTGCTCAAAATTTGATGAGATACCGTCCCTGCAGGAGGAGGGGGATGTGAGCACTCATTTATCTGAGGTAAGCTTACCAAAAATCAGTAAGAAGAGTTCAGCGAGAAATACTGATGAGTTGGTGAAGGCGGAATGTGGACTGGCAGGACAGTGTGAAGCCTCTGAGGGCCGCAGAAACTGGGGGAGCCTGTGCTCTTTTGTAGGGTCTTTCTCCACGAACCCTACTGGGTGCTTTTAGAAAAGATCAGAACGAGCCCTAAGATTGGACCACTGACATGTAGACCTTGGAGAGTGGAACATTAGCCACGTAGGAGGGATAAGAATCTCTAACCAATGCATTTCCTCTATCTCCCCTAGGGAAAAACATGCCTTTCTCTGTGGCGGAAAGGACCAAAAACTCTGTAACCTCCAGGGTACTGGTGGAAACTCAGTGCAGCTTGGAGAAGGAAAGAGGAAAAAACTACTCCCGGGGCAAGGCAGAAATATGCACTGGGCCCAGAACTACACAAGGGGAGAGGCAAAAGACTTGAGAAGGACATACTCCTGAGACCAAGGGACACAGTACCTAAGACCGGGGCATAAGCAGAAAATTCCCTTCTCCCAATTCCCCACATCACTAAGCAAACAAATTCAAGTAATTAGTAACAGCAGAATACTACTGGGAAAGGGATAGAAGAGGAAGAGCATGCAAAGAGAGCATCTGGGGCCAGCCTGGTGGTGCAGCGGTTAAGTTTGCACGTTCCGCTTCAGCGGCCCAGGGTTCACCTGTTCGGATCCCGGGTGCAGACATGGCACGGCTTGGCATGCCATGCTGTGGTAGGCATCCCACATATAAAGTAGAGGAAGATGGGCATGGATGTTAGCTCAGGGCCAGTCTTCCTCAGCAAAAAGAGGAGGATTGGCAGCAGTTAGCTCAGGGCTAATCTTTCTCAAAAAAAAAGAAAAAAAAAAAGGAAGCATCTGATGCACAGTGGAAAGGCAAGACCTAAAGCTCAGGGTTGTAAAGACACAGCTCTGGAATACCACCCTTCATGTGTGCCCACTTCCAGGCATAAAAACGACTGACCTCAGTCTCTTCTGTCCTACACAAGATGTGTGGCTTCAAAAAAAAATAAGACACAAAATGGCAAGAAAAATCACACTCCCAAGAAACAAAGAAATCATCAGAACCAGAACCTGGTATGACACAGACATTGGAGCTATCAGACAAAGAATTTTAAGTAATTATGATTAACATGTTAAAGGCTCAAATGGAAAAGGTGGATATCACGCAAGATCAGCAGGTAATTGCAGTAGAAAAATGCAAACTCTAAGAAATAACTAAATAGAAATGCTAGAAATGAAAAACACAGTAGCAGAGATAAATAACACCTTCAGTCGGCTCACCAGTAATCTCAATACAGCCAAAGAATGAATCAGTGAACTTTAAGATCAGTCAACAGAAATTAACCCAAATTGAAACACAAGGAGAAAAATTAGAAATAAAAAACAGAAAAGAGTATCCAAGAGAACATAAAACAGTCAAATATGAGTGTAATTGGAATCCCAGAAAGAAGAGAGAGGAATGGGAGGTTATTTTATTTTTTTAATTTAAGAAAACACATAATGCATGAGAATTTCCAAAAATTAAGTGACAGACACCAAACCATAAAAAACAAGAAGTCCAGAGGCCCCAATAAACCACCCCTTTTAGCATATCATATTCAAACTACTGAAAGCAATAGATAAGAGGAAATCTTGAAAGCAGTCAGAAAAAAAGAAATGTTACATAGGAAAAAAGATAAGAATTGCATCAGATTTCCTATCAGAAACCATGCAAGTCAGAATTCTATACCCTCACAAAAAAAAATCTTTAAAAAAATTTAAGGTGCTATTGCTCATGTCAATGTAAACTGGTATAGCCACAGTGGAAAACAGTTTGGCAGTTAGTTCCTTAAAATGTAAAACATAATGTAGTTATGACGTAAAAAGTAAAATTATCCAATGACACAGAAGGAGTTTCACATTAAAAAAAAATTATTACTGTCAGCCCTGTGGCCAAGTAGTTCAAGTTCCATGCACCCCGCTCTGGCAGCCCAGGTTCATGGCTTTGGGTCCTGGGCGTGGACCTACTCCACTCATCAGCCATGCTGTGGAGGTGGCCCATATACAAAATAGAGGAAGAATGGCATAGATGTTAGCTTAGGGCTAATCTCCCTCAAGCAAAAATAGAAGAAGATTAGCAACTGATGTTAGTCAGGGCGAATCTTCCTCACCAAAGGAAAAAAAAATCATCACCTTTAACAAAATAGAGAATGAATAGTATTATATAAATATTGTATCTTAAATAGTTTATTCAACCTATTTTAAAAATAGCTTAATTTACTGAAAGAAAAATTTTTTTTAAATGTTTAATATAAATTTACCATGTGAACCAGCAATTTCACTCCTAGGTAAGAAGTAAAATGAAAATATATGTCCATACAAAGATCTGTAAGCAAAATGTTCCTAAAAGCATTATTCACAACAGCCAAAAAGTGAAAACAATTCAAATGTTCATCAACTAGCAAACAGATGAACAAAATAGGATAAATCCATACAATGGAATACTACTAAGCCATACAAAGGAACAGAATCCTGATCCATGCTACAACATGGATGAACCTCAAAAACATTACGCTAAGTGAAAGAAGCCAGATGCAAAAGACTCAATATTGTATGATTCGATTTATATGAAATCCCAAGGAAGGCAAATCTATAGGCATAGAAAGCAGACTGGTGGTTGCCTGGAGTAAGGAGTCGGAAGGTGATTGACTTATGGTCTGAGGTTATCTTTGGGGGTGATGGCAACATTCTAAAAGTGGATTTAGGTGATGGTTGCACAACTCTGTAAATTCACTAAAAATCAATGAAGTGTACACTTAAAAAGGTAAGTTTTGGGGGCCAGCCCCATGGCCGATTGGTTAAGTTTGCGCACTCCGCTTCGGTGGCCCAGGGTTTCGCTGGTTCGGATCCTGGGTGCAGACATGGCACCACTTGGGGGGCTTGGGGAGAAAAAGCAGAAAGAAAAAAAAAACAACCTCAATGAATTTTAAAGAATAGCTATCGTTAAAAGTATGTTTTCAGACCATAATGGAGATCAATAAAAGACAGATATCTGTAAGGGACATTGTGAAGGGAATGAAAAGATTAATCACAGACTGGGAAAAAAATCCCTGTAAATCACATATCTGAAGAAGGACTTGTATCCAAAACATATACAGAACTTTCCAAATTCAATAATAACAATAATCAAGACAGCGTGGTACTAGAGGAAGGAGAGACACACAGATTGATGGAGCAAATAGAGAACACAGAAATAGATCCACACAAAGATGCCCAATTGATTTAAAGTATGACCCATAAAAGTAAAAACTGATAAACTATACCTCATCAAATCGAAAAACTTTTATTCTGTGAAAGACTCTACAGAGGAAATGGAAAGACAAATTACAGACTGGGAGAAAATTTTGCAAATTATATATCCCATGATAGACTTGTATCTAGAATATATAAATCACAAAACTCAACATCAAAAAAACAATCCCATTAGAACATGGGCAAAAGACATGAAGAGACATTTAACCAAAAAGGATATACAGATGCAAATGTATATGAAAATACAAATGTGCAAATAAGAACATGAAGATTTTCAACCTCACTAACTGTCAAGGAAATGCAAATGAAAACCATAATGAGATATTACTACAAGTCTATCAAGTGGCCAAAATAAAAAATTGTGACAACACCAAATGCTAGTGAGGATGCTGAGAAAATGGATTACTTATACACTGATGGTCGAGATATAAAATGGTGCATCCACTACGGAAAATAGTTTGGCAGTTTCTTTAAAAACTAAAAATGGGCTTATCAGATGACCCAGCAATTGCACTCTTGGGCATTTATTTCAGAGAATTGAAAACTTATGTTGGTGCAGAAATCTGTACACAAATGTTCAAAGCAACTTTATTTGTAATAGCCAAAAACTTGAAATTACTGAAATGTATAAATGGTTAAATTGTGGTATATCTGCACTATGAAACACTACCCAGCAAGAAAAAGAAACAAACTATTGATACAGGCAACAACTTGAATGAACCTCCACGGAATTACGCTGAGTGAAAAAAATTCAGTATCAAAAGGTTACATGCTATATTATGGTTCCATGTATACAACGTTCTTAGAATAACAAAATTATAGGGATGGAGAACAAAATAGTGGTTTCCAAGGGTAAGGGATGTCAAGGAGGAAGGGGGGAGGCTATAAAGGGTACCTATGAGGTATGATGATAACATGGTGATGGTACATTTGTGTACCTTGATTGTAGTGGAAGTTACATAAAGTTATACAGGTGAGAAAATTACACAGAAATCCCCCCACACACACAGACAGACACAATTGCATCTATAACTAGTGAAACCTGAATAAGCCTTCTGGATTGTACCAATGTCCAATTCCTGGTCTTAATATTGTGCTCTAGTTATGCAAGATGTTCATATCAGGGGAGGTTGAGTGAAGTGTGCATGGTATCTCCCTGTAGATCTCTTTGCAATTCCACTGAATCTATAATTATTTCAAAACAAAGTTAAAAAAAATTAACAGTAAAAAAATAAGCACGTTGATTTTTTAAATGGGCAAAAGATTTGAACACAAAATTCACCAAAGAAGTGATATGTATAGTAAATAAGCATACAGAAAGATGCTCAACATTATTAATCATCAGAGAAATGAAAATCAAAACCACAATGAGATACCACCACACACCTCAGAATGGCTAAAATTAAAAAAAAAATTAGCAATACCACGTGCTGGTAAGGATGTGGAACAACTGGAACACTCATATGCTGCTGGTGGGGATGCAAAATGGTATAACCACTCCGCAAATGTTTGGGAGGTTCTTATAAAGGAAAACGTTCATTTACCATGTAACCCAGAAATCTTGCTCCCGGACATTTACTCAAGAGAAATGAAAATTTATGTTCACACGAAAACCTATATACAAATATTTATAACTTTATTCATAATAGACAAAAACTGGAAACAAACCAAATGTCCCTCAACTGGTGAATGGAAAAACAAAATGCAGTACATCCATATAATGGACTACTACCCAGCAATAAAAAGCAGTGAGCTACTGATACACACAACCACACAGATGAATCTCAAAGGCATTTTGCCGAGTGAGAGAAGCCAGACCCAAAAGACTACATACCATATGACTCCATTTACTTGACAATCTGGAAAAGGTAAAACTATAGGAATGGAAGGGCCAGCCCGGTGGCGCAGGGGCTAAGTTTGCACGTTCCACTTCTTGGCGGCCTGGGGTTCGCCGGTTCGGATCACGTGTGTGGACATGGCACGGCTTGGCAAAAGCCATGCTGTGGCAGGCATCCCACGTATAAAGTAGAGGAAGATGGGCAGGGATGTTAGCTCAGGGCCAGTCTTCCTCAGCAAAAAGAGGAGGACTGGCAGTAGTTAGTTCACGGATAATCTTCCTCAAAAAAAAAGAAAAAACCTATAGGAATGGAGATCAGACCAGTGGCTGCCAGGGTCTGGGAATGGGAGAGGGGTGGAATACAAAGAGGCAATACCAGGCAATTTGCGGTGTGATAGAACTCGTCTGTATCTTGATTGTGGTGATGGATACATGGCTTTGTGCTTCAGTCCAAAGTCATAAAATTGTACACTGCAGAAGTTTGCTCTGTGTAAATAAACAAGCAAATCAAAACAAGATCCCCCTGCACATCCACCTAAGTGACAGAGTGTGCTATCAAAGATAGAGAGTAAAGGGAACTCATACACTGCTGGTGGTAGTGTAAATTGCTACTATGGAAAGCTATTTGGCAATATCTCCTAAAATTAAACATACGCATGTCCTATAAATAATGAATTCTACCTCTAGATATACATGCAACAGAAATATATATTTACCAAAGAAAGTAAATACAAAGATATTCACAGCAGCTTTATTTGTAATAGCAAAAACCTGGAAACCATACGAATGTCCACAAACAGTGGAAAGGATAAATCAATCATAGTATAGTCATACAATGGAATACAGTATGGCAACGAGAATAAAGGAAATACTGCTCACATGACAACATGGGTGAATCTCACGAACAACATTACATATAAGAATCCAGACAATAAGAGTACATAATGTAGGATTCCATTTACTAAAGTAATCAAAGATGTTACAAGTCACAACAGTGGTTACCTTTGGGCAGAAGTAGTGACTTGGAGGAGATCACAAGGGAGTTCTAGCAATGTTCTATTTTTTAATATATGCTGGTTACTGGTTTGTGAAGATTTATTAATCTGTTCATTTAATATTTGTGCATTTTTTCTGTTTGCAAATTACACTTCATTTAAAAAGTTTTAAAAGCAGAGTATGTACATTTCATTTTCTTTCCTTTTTAGAATTTAGGTTTGCTGATCAAAGATTCTCTGATTCCAAAGGGGAGGAGCAAGAATTATACATGAAAACCTTTGTCCCTGATTGGAAAGGTGGGTGGAGGCAACTTTTGATTACTTGCTCTATCACGAACAGGGCCAGGGGCTTCACAACAACTGAGAGAGGTAGGTATTTTATTTTTGTTTTTAGAGATGGAGAAGACCCAAGGACTATATGATGAATGGTTTCAACCATGATTATGTGATTCAGCATTTCTATAATGATAAACTCAAGAAACATCAGAGAGAGAAAGGCCTCTAAAGAGCATCTAGTCCAGCTCCCTTGTTTTACAAAAGGGGGACATGTGTCCTAGAATGGAAAGGACTCATTCAAGATTAGCCATTTACTGAAAAAGAAGGGACTAGAACTTCAGTCTCCTAAGTGCCATCCAGTATATATCCAATGCGCCATGACCACTGCTCACGTACAAATTATCAAGATACTTTATGAAATGGAGGGAAGAGCATTAAGTTGGGAGTTGGAAGACCTGGATCCTGTCCCAGTTTTGCCAAGTGAGCCTGACTTCCACTCTTAGGTTTTAATTTCCCTACCTGTGAAATACGGGGTAACAATAACAAAATCAACAAGAGGTAGCAAGTCTTGGATCCATGACAAAGGGAGATCCAGGTTTCGTGGGACCTGAAGCTTATAATACTTGGAGCTCTCTTTAAGGATAAGAATACAAAATTACCAATACAAAATTAGGAACAAAAGTACATGTATAAAATGAGAAAAGAAATACAATAGAGTACACATTTGAAAAGGTCAACAAATGTTAGACATCTCAAAATTCAGGAAAAATGATATAATAAATACAACTATATTTTTATTAATCAACTGCCTGATACACCTCTATATCATTCCCACTTTTCTTGTCTGTTATAGTTGAAGACTCAGGACTCAGCATATAGTTGTACTCACAGCTAAGATTTATTACAGCAATTACAGTGGGGACACACAGACGGATCACAAGGGGAAAAGACACAGGCAGAGCCAGGAGGAATCCATGTGTAGACTTCCTTATGCCCTTTTTCTCCCATGAGGGGCCACACAGAACACAATCTTCCCTCAGCAATGAAAATGCAGGGACACATGTGTGATGTTGCTGCCCAGGGAGACCCAGACTCAGCACCCATGATTTTTATTCGGGGCTGGTCACGTAGGTACCTTCTACCTAGCTTGCACCAAAATTCCAGACTCCCAGGAGGAAAGCAGGTGTTCAGCATAAACCACATTGTTTGTATAAACAATCTAAGCACAGTAAGCCACTCTCATCAGTTTCCTGTTAACTAGGGACACTCTGAGAACCAAGTTCCCAGATGCCAGCACAGGGCCACCCTTACAAGCAGGCCTTTCTAAGGACGGTAGTCACAGGCCTGCCATATTAACTCTCTTCTGCACGCTACTCAACGTTTGTACTTCTGCTACATGTCTGTGCCTTACAATCACAGGAGTTCTGAAAAATTCCTTTTGACAGAACTCCCGTGAAAATGTTAATATAAATGTATGTTGTGTTTATGACTGCATACGCTGTACACTGAGTATATTCCTGACAGGAAAGAACTTGCACTTGTTGATTTCACATATCTGATTCGTGGCTGGAAGACTTTTCCACAGACTAGCTTCTGGCTCCATACATTGTGAGCCTTGATTCTCCTCCACTGCCAACATACTTCCGGCACCTAGTGTTGTCAAGCACAGTGACATCACAATGTACTCTCCAGCCCCACCCCTCCTGTACTGACACTGCGTGCATCAGCACAGTAAGCAGTATTCCTGGAAGCAGTTTCAATACAGAGCAGCTAGCAATAACTTGAACAGGTACAGAATTGGTTGTGAGCCCCTTAAATGTCTCCCCAAGTCCAAACTAAATATATCCCAATTTAATGTCTTGTTAGCTAGATTTCCAATATACCTCCGGCCATTGCATTGCGACCCAACACGAGATCAAGTGAGAGAGACAGCAGAAGGGAAAGAGAGGCGCCCTGAACCAACTGTGGCTAAAATATCTTTTGTAGATTTTATAAACCATACAACTATCATAAACCATAATGCTAGGGCTCCTTCCAGCCCTGTGCAAGCCCGTGACCCTGAAGTTTAATCTCAAACTTCACTAGCTTCACTGTGCATCAGTGTCTGGTCCAGAAAGTTACAGAAGAGAAACCAAACACTAAGAAAAGGCTTGGGACCCAGATAATAAGGCAGAAGGGAGGAGAGTACACAACCAGAAGCAAGGATAAGAAAATCAGGGTGAATTCCAGATAACCAGAGTGCAAAAGCACCCTTGAATGAGTGACCAGCAAACGACCTAGGAATGGAAAGATAGCCTGAGCTGGGACACAACACAAGGACTCCAACTACAAAGCTGTCTTTCTTCCATGGCTGAGGTGAGAAATCTAGTGTGAGGTTTGGTAGACAATGAGTGGACAACAGGAGGAAGTAGTTCAGAGGAGTCAGGCTTCTTGAACCACAGGCAGAGAGGAACTGTGCTGGGCAGGCACAGAATTGAATTGAGAAATCCAGGAACCAAGGAGAGAGTTAAGAAAGACAACGTTCTGAATTGGTTAAGATTGAATTCTCAAACTACAGCCCAGCATCGAATATTTCCCAAGCTTTAACAGGCCTTCTAGGTACCACATGCCACTCTCTGCCCTCTGTGGGTACAGGGAGCAGATCACCATAGTCAGAATCAGAAGAACTGGTTGAGTCCTGCCTCTGTCACTTACTGCACAACCTAAGATAAATCACTTCCCCTCTCTGAGCTCAGCTGCCTCATCTCTAAAGTGAAGAGAATGATAATGCAGTCCGAGGAGCCCATGGAGAATGCAATGTGATACTAGGATGAGGAAAAGGAACTGGAGAGGCATTCTTCCAGAACCAGAACACAAAGACCCATGGGAAAGCATGCTGTGAACTGCAAAGCTTTGTAGGAACTGAAAAGCCTTGTAGGAATGTTAGCTTTGCTTTGCTACAGTGGAGACAACAGCACAGGAGCTGTGCCAAACTACCTCTCTGCATATAGTTGGAACGCTTAGAACATGCCAACTCACTGACTCTTCTCTCTCTAATGTACAAGCAGTGTAAAGCAGTGGTCTTGTTGATATTCTAAGGGGAAACTGACAGTACTTCTTTGGTTTTTATTTGATATGAATAATGGTCATTTTACAAATAAGATGTACTCCAGTAAGTAGTTTTGCTAGGAAGGGAGAAGGAAGGAGGGAGAAGGGGACATGAGCAACCATCAAAATGTCCGAAAGAGGGAGGAAAGCAAGGGTAGATCTGCTGTGACTCTAGGTAACAGTTGTACCCCTCATCTCCCCACTGACCCCTGTCCAAGCCCTACTCTATCCTAGTAAAAAGATATATATGGAAGAGATTGGCAGCAATGTAAAGAGGTATGCGGTTTTTAAAGTCACATGGCCTTGGACTACACAGATCCTCAGAAGCAAGTGACAGACTTGATGGCAACTCTGGTACCCCAGGTCACTCTGGAGAATCCATCAGCAGGACTCTCAAGCATGGGGATAAACGTATATGCTGGATTTGGCAGTTATCGGCTGCAGTATTAAGGATGAAAACGTAAGGATGGTGCCTTTGGACAGCTGTGCAGCACAGCAGGCCATTAAGCTCCCCTCTGATTCAGCCTCTCCTCGCACTTGAGCACCAGCCACAGCTGAATAAACCAACTTGACTCTTTGTTTGCCATGATAAAGCATATTCTGTTAAATGCATACTCTTTTGACCCAAGTGCGACAGTCCCTCCTGCAATCTGAAGGAAGATGTGGACTAGCTCATGGACAAGCAACACAGTTCAAAGTCCCAGAATCACACAGCACTGGAGCTGGAAAGAGCTGAAGCAGTCCTTGAAGCTGAGCCCCTTGCTTTGCAGATGGGAATCGAGATGCCTAACAAAGGGACTTGGCCAAGAACACACGCAGGGCCCAGGGCCAGCCCCACACTTCAGGAGCGTAAATCAGGGCAGCAGGCTCTTAGCCTTGGCATCAGGCTCAGAGTGCATGTCCTGTGTTCTCAACTTGTTTGGCAGGATTCTGGGTTGGCTGATCCTGAATCCCAACTCCCTCTCAGCCATCTGAGAGAGCTTAGCCAAGTCCCTCGGCCTCTATGCTCAGTTTCCTCATCTGTCTTGTGGATCTAACAGCACCTATCTCACCAGGTTGATTCAAGGACCAAAGGAGATAAGATGTGAGAAGCACCTTTGCCCCACTTCCTTTGCCTGAGCTATTGTTCCTTATGGCCTCTGATCTCCTGTCCTCCCAGCCTAAAGCTGACTTGTCAGGAGGGGACTCCTGTATCACCACCATCAAAACCCTGCCCAGATTTCAGCACACAGCTCAGAGCCAGCCTCCCTCTGGAGCCTTCCAGATCTCCCAAGGAGATACATCCTGCCCTCTCCTGAGGCCTAGTAACACTTCACAGATAGTCTTTCTGTGGACAGTTATCTGGTCCTGCCTCAAAAGAGTGTCTGACATACTTGCCTTTCCTACCCAACTAACATGCACTGACTCCAAGGCAGGGCCTATCTCACTGATCTGCCAGCTCCAGTATGGTATAGTAGCTTACCATAGTAGAGAGTAGCTCTACCATGCTGGATCACTCCAACTGAACAGTTTATCATCATCATCAGTCAACATATACTGAGTGTCTCCTCTGGGGACCATACAAAAGTGAACTGGGCAGGGTCCTTGTCCTCAGAGAGATTCCAGTCTAGCTCGGGTAACAGGGCACACACATATGCACATGAAATGGAAACCACTCAAGGTAACTTTACACGAAAAGAGTACTACAGATAGGGTTCTGGAAGGTTGTCAGGAAGGAGCAGTCCTTGAAGCTGGCCTCCGAGGGTTCATGAAGACATAGGAAGTGAGGAGTGAGGGCATTCACCATGAGGCAGCAATATGGAGGGCAGTGGCACCAAGTGCTGGAAACCGGAGAAGAGCCCAGGCTGTGGGAGTGGAGGCGGCAGCTATGATCGAGAAGGCAGGGGAGGGCCACCTTGAGCAAGATCATGTTATGATCATAGCCTCATTAAGTTTACAGGGTCTTGGCTGAGCCCAAGCCCATTCACTGCTCAGAGTAACCCCATGGGTTGAGGACTGTTTTTATTATCCTCATTTGACAGATGGGCAAACTGAGGCCAAAGAGGTTCAGGCACTTGAATGCCAAGCATTGGGAGCCAGGACAACCCCTGGGCAAGGTTGTGTTTTAGGAATCACGGTTATGCTACAGGGGAGACCACGATCAAAGGGGCCCAGAGAGGGGTTAGAAATCTGCTTGTGTCATGTGAGCAAAGGCCTCAGCTTTGAGAGAGCTCAGGAAACATCTGAACAGGATATTCTTCCAGAAACTTCTTTTCCTTAAGGATTCTATCTATGGTCCCTCTACTTTTCCCTGCTGATTTTGTACCAGAAGTCGGGGATCCAGCCTACCTGGCATTCAGTCTTCCTTTACTTTCTCAGATGGTGCACACACTACCTCTATCCCCATGGGAAAGTTTCCATCCTTCTTAACAAAGGGCTGGGGCAAAGCCCAAAGAGCACTCTGCTCTTCTGTGACATTCCACATAGGACAAATGACATTTAAACACATTGGCCACTCTAGCAACTGGGTTCTTTATCTCGTTCCTAAAGTGGGCTTCCCATTTCAGGAATGACATTAGTGAAACGAAACAAAGACTGATGAGCAAAGCCCTATAATCTGTCAAAGCAGCAGCTGCTCTTCTGGATACACACAGGAAGAGGCCAGTGAAGAATGCGGAAGACAGAGCACTCTACCAACGTTGAACTGGGGACACTCAACTCAGCATTGGATAGAAAGGACAGAAGCCATTTACATGAAGGCGTCTTTCTAGTGCCATGTCATTAAGATTATCAAGAAAGTACATTGATACCAGACACACTAACAGCTGTCCACAATTCTAAACTTTCACTTAGATTTAGAGCACGGAGATAGGCCTTGGCCAGAGTCTGAGAGCAGGTCACACTTGTTTCTGCCATAAGCTCCCTTGGAAAAGTGTCCATTAACTCCCATAATTAGACGTCCTTAGGATCCATACTACAACCAAAAAAAGTGCAACTCTCCCTGATCGCATGGATAATTCAACAACCTCTTAACTCAAATTGCGCTCCTTACAAAATATTTTACAGATGCTTCATACATTCAAAGTTGGGAGAGAAACAAATATTTGCTGTCTCCTTCATATCACAGAAGGTCAGTTTCTACATCTGCATAATCGAGGATTTTGCCCCCAATAGAAAAATTCATCTTATACAAATTTTCAATTTATGATATAATCAGAGTATCACTAAGTACTCAAAATCAAAGGATTTGAGATGTACAAGGCATTCTGTGATGAGACTTTTCTTTTCAAAATGCTATGCATGGACCAGCCACCTAGGCATCACCTGGGATCTGGTCAGAAATGCAGAATCTCCAGTGCACCCAGAACTTCTGAATCAGAAGCTACATCTGACAAGATCACTGAGGGATCTGAATGCTCATTAAAGTTTGAGAACCACAGATCTAGAACACCAGTTTTCAAACTGTGTTCTGTGGCGTGCTTTATGGGCCTCTATGGAGAATGGCCCAAGGAGAGATTGGGAAGAAGGAGTGGGTGGATTGGGCCTTGCTTTAGCTGAGCAGCCTGCCTCTGATCTGTTTGCGGGGTGGAACCTCTGGCCAGACCAAGATATTCCACGGCAACAAAAGTGTGAGAACCATTATTCTAGACCAATCATCTCATTTTCTACATGGCACAACTGAGATCTTCCAAAGAGCATAAGGGACTTTTGCCAAGTTCACATCATAGTCCCTTGACCACTGTTAGAAAACTCTGAAATTTACAAAGCCTGGGAACCAAGAAAAATCTTCATAGTCAGTGTTTCTGGAATAACCTCCAACCTGCAGAGTAGAAGCAAAAATTGAGAACTCGAGCCTCACCAGGAGAGGACATGATATACAAGGCTCTGCTCTGGAAACAGCCCTGTGAGGGAAGCAGCATTTGTGCCACCTGGTTTACAAGAGAGGACAGAGACACTAAGTTCCAAGGTCACAGGAAGAGAAGAGTTGATGTCCAAACCCAGGTCCCCGGACCCTAAAGCCCAAACTCTGGACATCGTCATTCCACCACCTCCTGGCCACACACCCTTCAGCCCCTCTGTGGGCCATATGCACTGGCCCAGCCTATGAACCACATGGACACAGATAAATCAAAAAAGGGAGTGCTACTGTCCTCATGGGCCCTTGGAAGGCAAACAATGGGCTCACATCCCAACCTTTAGGCTCCCAGTATAGGCTCTTCACAAGGAAAACGCAAACTAGACTGCTATATCTTCACAGTAATGAGCATTAGGAGTCTGTTTGTTTTAATATTCATCATTATATATTTGACATCTCTTTGTCTTGGGAAAGTCAGAAAGATCAAGAAGGCAGGAATACTCAGAGGAAGGAAAGGAGAATACTTTACAGTGTACCAACACATTAGTCTTAGTATACTTTGTTTTCATACTCACAACCCCCAAGCATTGCATGGAGCTTTCTGCCATGGAAGCTACTCGCTGATCAAGTCTCTGACCACCGATCACCTTCAATTAAAAATGAAGTTGGATGAGTCAGGCAATAGATGGCACAATGAGCAAGTAGCACATTACTACTGTCAAATCCTAGCTAGTGTCATCTCATACAAAAAGCAGGCCCCTTTCCTAAAACTTCCTCCAAGTATCATTTGGGAACATTCAAGTTGGGTGACAAAATATGCCAAGGTCACCTGCCTTCATCGTCTTGTCTTCACCACTCACCCTCCTCCTTCAAAGGCAGCATGTCCAGTGGCAGTGAGGGAGGGGCCTGCACTGCCAAAGCTCTCCTGGCCCTGGATGCTGTCAGAGCTCAGGCCATCCGTAAGCTGGCCTGGGCGAACTCACACCACGCCTCCTTTCTATGGGTTGTCGGCAGCAGCCACTCTGCTCAGTCTGGGCAACTCAGGGTGCCACAATGGGCAAATCAACTTTCTGGTGGGGGCCAGGAGGATCTAGCCCCAACATCCTCACCACCCCCTCCACGGTCCTCAGAACTTAAAGACCTAATGTCATCTCTCCAAGCTTTCTTCTAAAGTCAGGAACAAGAATTAGAAAGCTCATCACAAGCCAGGAGAATGAGGCAGCCTCCAAAGAAGACCCATATGTTCAGAACAAGGACAGGAGCATGCTGCAGGGATCACTGCTCATCTGTGGAAGGCTGCTCCTGGGCCACCCAGGGCTGCATCTTATTCACCTGTCTTTCCTTGTTGTCTACACGCTGCCTGGCCCATCAGAGGCACCCAAAGGTTTGTCAAATGACTGACTAACCAAACAAGAGAATCAATGAATTCTTCTCAGGGAGAGAAGCAAACTTGCCTTTAACACTGTTAGTGAGCGCACAGACCAGTTGCACCCAGAGTACAGCGCAGAATTCTTAGGGCAGCCTCTATGAGTTAGACCCAGTATAGTTTCTCAGCCACATCTCCAATGAACTCACACCACAAACAAGTCTGCCTCAGCCAGGAATCTTCTCCCAGCTCCCTGAATGTATCTGGCCCTTTCAGGGGGCCTTTCCCCCATTTCCCACCTAAGGAGACCCTTTTCACCCTCAAGACCTAGATGAAATGGTCCTTCTCTCTGAGGCCTTCCGCAGCTCCTTGCCCCGAGTCAGTGGTTCCTTCCCCTTCAAGTTTTCCTGAACCCATAGGGCCTCGATTCAGATCAGGTGGTTTACAGGACTGCCTGGAAGATGCCCCCACCAGCCCTGAGGGACGCAGAGCTGAGTGCGCCTGTGGACCTGCACCGTCAAGGAGCCTCTTACAGGACGGGTGTCTGCTGACAACTCTGCTTTGCCCTGTGCTGTTCCCTACCCAGGTCTGCCCTCTCCCATCAGCCTGGGCTTACAGTGATGCTAACAGACGCTCAGCTGGGAAACGCCCTGGAAGCACACCCCCTTCCAAACCCAGCAGTCTCCTGATGCACAAGAAGCCGAAGCACCTCCCACCAGGCCGGCCGCAGTGTGGAGCGCGGTTTTGCCCGAGGAAAGGCACCTGGTGCCCTATGTGTGCTACTTGGTATGCACCCATTCCTGGGGCACCAATTTTGGGTGTTGATTGACCCGTTCAGTCCACCTGGATTGCAAGGCCTCAGGCACAGTGAGGGCCTAACTACCCCGCCGAGTACAGGTCCTTGAGGGCCGATCCCTGCTCTGCAGCTCCCCGATGGGCAGGGAGAGACTGTCAGCTCGGTGTCACAGGCTGAAGGGACAACCTGTCCAGCCCTGCTTCTCCCTGCTCCCTTCGTGGGTGTTATTCCCCAGTCAGCCTTTGGCACGCCTCACTCCCTCTCAGGGGGCAGCTTCCTGAAAGATTCCACCTGAGACAGTTGCTTCTCGAGTGGTCCAAAAGCAGATGCTAAGACAGGGTCTTGGTGCGGGATTGCTCATCACCTGCCCCAGTGGTAACGAGGACCTCATCCCGGGGGTTGGTGGTGTGCAGACAGCCCAGTGGCTAGCACGTTCCTGTCAGAACTTTTTGCTGGGCTGGCGGGTGGAGAGGAATTTGCCGGCAGGTGAGGGGACCCAGGCGTGTGGCACGTACAGGAAGGACAACTCGAAGGACAAGGGGAATGGATGGAGGTGACCCTCTTGCTTTGATGACTGGCAGGGTGATGAGAATCCCGGGGTGATTAACAGAGTGAAAACTAAGGGGGAGCCCCAGAGTCTCCTCAGTAGGTTGCAAAGTCGCCCCATCTCAGGCAGTGGACGAAGGGCAAACCCAGGATTTGATAGGAGTGGCTGAACTTCAAAGACAGCTGAACGTTCACCAAGGCAGGTCCGTCAGGCCAACATCAGAAGCCCCATTGGGAAAACCCACACCCCTGACACAAGAAACAGGCACATCCGGGCAAGGGCCCTGGAAGAGCTAGACTCCCCAGATGCCTCTGAAACCTCTGAGCCTGGAGCAGTGGCCCATTCCTTCCCATAAAGAGCTAATGCACCCATCCCATCGCTGAGGGAGCAAAAAGCCTGCACATCTTTCTCCATGGGTGCCTTCCATCCCAGAAGGTAGAGTGACCAGCCATCCTGGTTTACTGTAGGACTTGCAGTTCTAAAACCAGGAGAGTCCCAGGAAAACCAGGAAGAGTTGGTCAACTTCCTGCCAGGGCCCCAACCAGAGTGAAGTCACCACACAACACAGGCAGGATGTGCCAAGCCTGCTAAGGGAGGAAAGGAACTGCACAACCGCCTGACCCATGAACGGCAGTAGAGGTCCCAGGGTGGCACTGAACGGCCAGCATGCGGGGGCTGACACTGATGGACACCACTGGCAAGGAGGCCTGACCCCTCCAGCGGCAGAGGGGGTCAATACCACACGGCCTCCCTGGGGGCACAATGGATGGGCAACCCACCAAGGTGCAGCCTAAAATGGACCCTCTAAAGAGCAAGAACACACAGCAGGTGGCTGAGGGCAGCCACCCCAACAAAGTCATGATCCCTTGCCCAGGTTCTGCCCCTGAGCCAGTTTTCTGACCTGGAACCGTGGACTAGGGAGGTGGCCAGGACCCCAGGGGGAAGGACACTGCAGTGCCATGGCAAGTATGCACGGGAATGACCCCCCAACCCCTCCCAAAGGGACCTCCAGTTATGCACTGGGGGACTGAACGCTGGGAAATGGGATTACCAGACCGTGGGAGGCTGTTGGACACAGCGTCCAACCCGACATTGACACTGGAGTCTCAATAAACTCGGTCTCCGCGTCCACTTCAGGAGGACCCCCATGCTGGAGTTTCTGACCAGAGGACGTCACTGGGTCCAAGGTGTGCTGGGCCATTCTCAAGCATCTGTCAGTCGGGCTTGAGTGGGGAGAGCCTGGAATCCAATACACTCCACAACAAGGTGGAGAGCTGAGTGAGATGTCTTCTGAGGACTCTTTCAGAACATGGGATAACACTTAACGTTAAACGAAAAAACATAAGACAGAATGGTCACACAGCAGGAGCTCGACTGAGTAAAGAGGAACTACACGGAAAAAGAATGGGGGGAGGGTCAGCCCCATGGCATAGTGGTTAAGTTCAGCGCCCTAGGCTTCGGCAGCCCAGGGGCACAGGTTTGGATTCTGGGGCACTCACCAGCCACGCTATGGCAGCGACCCACATATAAATTGGAGGGAGATTGGCACAGTTGCTAGCTCAATGCTAATCTTCCTCAGCAAAAACAGAAGTGGGGAAATAGACCCAAACTGTGAGCATTCACGCCTCCGGGCAGTGCCTCCTGAGCAACCTTTGTCCTGATTCTTCGTATACTTTCTGTACTTTCCAAAGTTGCCACAGCGAGCATGCAGATACTCAGGAGTTAGCCGAGTGGGTCTTCTGCAACAGAGTGCATTAGTCCACCCATTCAAGCCCCCATCACCATAGCTATGGGATGGCAACACGTGCTCCAGATCCCCCACACCTGAATCTCGTAAACAAATAAGCTGGACCATACACTGTCACTCAGCCACAGTGTGACGTTTGGATGCCGTCCCTCAAGCTGTGGAGGGCCTGGCGCGGCGGTCGTTGCTTGTTTGCTCAGAGACTGAGGACAGTAAAGAAGATGTTACTGAAACTCAGAAGATGGAAACATGGAATTGAGCCTCGCCCCGCCCCCGATTGAAGGTGCTTTTCTGGCTTGTGATATGAATGCAAGTGAGGAGGTTGCCAGAAGTTCACGGAAACTCCCAAGGTTCCAACTCGGCTGGGCCACCCTCTGTGTGCAGGCACCACACCTAAGCAGTGGCGGCAAAGTAGCTCGTGGGTGACTGCAGGTGCCTTGTGATGCAGCTTCCTCCTGTGGACTTGGAGCGTCACTAAGACAAAGCAGAAATAAGTACAGTTCTCAGGTTGGAGCACGTGATCCAGGCCGTACTGAGAGGGATGCAGCCAACTGGAGCTGCCCAGGGGACAGGGAGCAAGAGGAGCAGTGGAGTCTGCCTGTTGGAAGCAGGCCACATGAGGATTGGGAGGAAAAGGGAGACTGGGGCCGAAGAAACAAGGCTCGCTGTCCTCTTGCTGCTGCACGGCTGCCGGGCCTCCTCTTCAGAAAGGTCAGGACACGGAACTACAGCCAAGCGGTGACAGAGGGAATCACAGGGATGAGAAGGAGCCCATTCTCAGGGGCAGAGTGCTGGACGCAAGGGCACCTCCTCCTCGGGGACCACTCCTCCCAGGTGGCGGGCCTGCGGGTGGAGGGCAGCCTCCAGCTGGAGGGGTGGTGGACATTCCCTGACCTTTGGGATCACTTACACTTCCAGAGTCTAGGTGAATGCCGAGTGCAAAGCAGGCATGCAAAGGGAGGAGGAGAGCAGCCCCCGAGGGCCAGAGGAGGAATCTGAAACGCAAACAACCAAGGGGAGATGAGCACCCAGGCTTCGGAACCAGCTCCCACATCTCCGCACCAAAGAGACCAGCAGCTCAACAGAAAGACGGGCAAAAGGCGTTTCAGAGAGGAGGAAACCGGACCTGCCGAGAAGTATATGGGGGAAACTGGGAGTTTGGGTCAAGCCGGTCCCAGACCTGTGGTGCTGCAAAACACGTGGCAGGAGCCAACGGGAACCTTCCCTGGGCCTCAAAGAAGCACATGGGAGGCAGAGGCAGCATTCTCCATGGTGCACTCTGCACCTCTCGGCAAGTGAGGAAAATGGGTAACAGGCGCAGCAGAGGGGAGGGGATGCAGAGAAGTAACACGGAGCAGAGAGGATGAGCCAGGCAGGAGAACATCTGTGCCAGAGAGGGGGACGGCAGAGCCAGGGTGGTGAGCACCGAGAGGCCTCGTGGCAGCAAGTTCCCAGGGGACAGCTGGGGGGGTGGGCTAGATGGACACGGGTCACTGGAAGGGTGAAGGATAAGAAACTGCAAAGGCGAGGGCTCAGACAGCCCATCTGGGACAGTGAGTTCTGCAGGGTGCTGCCCGGAGGGAGGAGGAAGAGAGGCTGACTGAGCAGATGCTATGGGCTCCGAAGAGGAGGCGACGTCCTGGGGGCATTTGCCACAAAGAGCAGTGGTGGACATGCTAAAAGGACTTCCTAAAAGGAAGATGGGCTGCGGTATGGGGATGTGCGTTATGGGGATGGAACCATGGACTGAGAAGAAAGCAGGCCCCCTGCAGCCGAGGCCTGAATCCCACGAAGGGGCCCTCTGCTCCTCACCTCACCTCAGGGCCAGCATTCGTGCTTCCTGGAGCTTCGGCAAGGAGCAAGCAGGTGCAGCTCACTGGAAGAGAAGGCAGTGCTCTGTTGATCCACACTGACTGAGCAACTACTGTGCCCCGGGCCCGTGGCTTGCAGAAACGAGTAAGAGCCAGTCCTGGCCTTCAAGGACCTCAGCGCTCCTGAGAGGGTCCCAGACTCTTGGAGAGCAGCTACAACCCTCGGAGATAGGAGCCCAGGGAAGGGAGGGAGGGAGAGCTAGAGTGCCGCCAGAACCCAGGGACAGGAGTGCCTGCCACCAGGCGTGGGGCAGAGAAAGGGATGTTCAAGTTGTGCCTGGAAGGAGGACAGGAGTCTGCCAGGACAAGAGAGGCAGGCATTTGAGCCCCCGGGGACCATGTGCCAAAGCAGGGAGTCCTGGCAAAGTGCGTACACTCAGGGGGCAGGGGCTCCCCAGCACACTGACCCACATGTTGGGCCACAACGGGGGAGAGAGCTGGCCCACCAGAAGGCCCCCCAGGGCCCCAAGGGGTTTGGGCTTCAACAGGCAAGGGCCCAGCAGGGTTTTCAGGAAGGCGTTGATGAGGGCAGATGTGCTGCTGGGAAACGGGATGGGTGGCCTGTGCAGCTCCCACTGGACTAGAAAGAGCCGGCACCCAGGCCGATGGGGAGGCACTGGGAACAACCAGCACGGGCCCCAGACTATGGGGCTGGAACTCAGGAAGTGGCCATGGGGCAGGAAGAGGGGCCTTCATTCTGATCAGGCCTTTGGGAGGCAAAGCCCCAGGACTGGGTCATCCAGGCAAAGACCAGGAAGGGCGCAGGGATGTCGAGGAGCACAGCGCGGCAGTGAGTGCCTTCAGCTCCTAAGTGAGAGTCAAGACAAGAGGCAGCTTTGACAGAGAAGGGGGCACTGGGGGGACACGTCAGGTCTGAGGGGCAGCAGAAAAGAGTGGGGACTTTCCTTCTCACCTGCAAACAAAGGCCATATCAAGCCTGCCCCTCAGGACCTCCTGGCACGCCCGCGGTGGCCTGGAAGAAGGAGACCCTGACACTCCAGGCACAGGACTCAGCCTAGGGGTCCTGCCCTCTCCCGGCCTCCGCGTCCCCCAGGGTACCTTCGGAGGGTCAGTTAGGTCGCCAAGGACGCTGCGACTGCACCTTGACTTCTGCCTCTGAGGTCACCGCGCACCAGGCGCCTATCCCCTCCTCCTCCTCCCTCCCTTTCCCCCAGCTCCCCCCCACCTTTCTCCCAGCTCCACCTCGTCTCCTGAAGCCCCGCCCTCAGCCCCGCCTTCTCTTCCAATAGCGGCTCCTCCCTCGGCTCTTTCCCTCAGGTCTGGCTTCCATAAGGCTCCCCCGGCCCCTCCCAGCCCCGCCCCTGCCCCTCCGCCTCCCCGCAGCCCCGCCCCCTGGCTCACGTTGTCCCCCGCCTCACTCTCCCCCTATCCCCTCTTGCCCGTTCCTGACCTGCTCCCAGCCGCTGGTCTCCAGGCCCCGACTGGGCCTGCTGAGCCCTCGTCCCTTGGGGCCGGGGGAGTCCACTGACTTCTCCTATCGGCGGGGGCCCGCGTGCACTTGTGCGCGTGACGTCAGCGCGTGTCTTCGTAATGAGCTGGCTGCGTGCCTGCGTGCCTTCGTACAGGCGTGCTGAGTTCCGGCGTGCTGCGTGCTTACGTACGTGGTCCGTGCTCGTGCATTCCCGCAAGAAAGGGGCTTCAGCGGCTGGGCAAGCGTGGCGCGGGGACAGACCGCCGCCGCGGTCTTCGGTCCCTGGGCGTAGTCTCCTCGCCTGGGTGTAGGAGGCGGCCCCGTCGGGACACGGGGAGGCGGAGGACCCTGCTGCCCAGTGGCTGCAGCGGAGTCGGCACAACGCGCCCGCCACTCGCTCGGCCCGTGGATCCGGGAGACCCGCGCCGCGCAGCCCGAAAGGCTCCAGGACTCAGCCCTCCGCGGGACGGTACCCCTGGGCTGGGAGCGCGCGCAGGCGACCCAGGCCGCTCTTTCCTGTCCCTTCGCCGCCACCATCACACGCCCGCCCTCCTTCTACGTGTGTGGACCGGCGACGTGCGTCTGCGCCTAGAAGGGCGAGTGTGGCGGTCCACAGGCACCGGTAGGTCCGCCCTCGTGTTTGCCTTCCTGCCTCCCGTGACCCTTCAGCTGTGCCCCCACCCAGGCCACGGGCTCCGCTGTGCCCTCAGAACACGATCCGCTTCCGTGACGTGATGTGCTGTGCTGCTGGCTGCTGGGGCGTTATGTGGTCCCACAGCCCGCCGGGGCCAGAGAGACCCACTGCCGTGATGAGCAGAGCCAAAGCGTGCGTGAGGGGTTTCCCTCCAGTTGGACCCTCCCGGGTCCTGCTGGCCTCCAGTCCCTGCTGAGTTGAAGACCGTTCTGGTACTTTAGCCCACATTGCTGTCTCGTACCTGATGACCTTGTCTCGTTATCCCTCTTGTCCTTGTGCAGGCGAAGGAGCCGAGACCAGAGGAACAGGCTTTCCTCTTCAGGCCACCAAGCAGGTACTCTCCGCATCAGGAGGCAGGAGGGCACTCGGCCCCCTTCGTACCTTTACGGTTACCTCAGTTCTCTCTAGGGATCCCAGCCACACAGTTCAGGTCTCCTGGTTGTGATTTTGTGGTTCTGATGAGAAAAGGACCAAGACAGCGAGTGGCAGAAACTAGGCAAACCTGCAGTCCAGTCGTCTACCCCAGGAGGAGAGTAGAAGTGGCCAGGCCACAGGGGGACATCCAGCCTCTCTCATAAATAATCCAAAGCCAGTGAACAGGGCAACCGTTTGTCACCCATCACGTTGGCAAAGGTTAAGTGAAAGGAGATGCTCAGGGCCGACGAGCGTGTGAGGAGATGGCCCTTGCTTGTGGTTGGTGGAGTGTACGCAAGTGAGCCTCTCTGGAAAGCCTTCTGCTGGTGCGGATCGGCACCTCAGATGTGCATGCCCTGTGACCCAGGCCTCCTCCTAACTATATCTTCAGTCAACACCTGTTTGTGGGGACGTCCTTTATGGTGACAGAAAGTGCAGAGCAGTCTGTGACTCACCATCAGGAGGATAGTCAGTGAATTGTGGGAGAGCCAACTATGGGATCGCATACAGGCGGTGACGAATAGGACAGAAGAAGATGTGCAGACGTGAAAGAACGTGCTTGATGTGCTGTTAATGGAGAAATCAGCCTCCACCCTTGGAGACGTCCAGGCAAGAGCACACAGCTCTGTTAGTTTGCCAGGGCGGTCATGTCAGAGTACCGCAGACTGAGTGGCTTCAACAGCAGAAAGTTGTCGTCTCATAGTTCTGGAGGCTGGAAGTCCAAGATCAAGGTGTCGGCCGACTTTGCCTCTGCTGAGGACTATGAGACAGAATCTGCTGTTCCGCCCTTGTCCCCGACTTCTGGTGGTTTTCTGGCAATCTTTGGCATCCTTAGGCTCATAACTTTCTGCCTTCCTCTTCAAATGGTGTTCTTCTGTGTGCGTCTCTCTAAATTTCCCCTTTTTATGAGTACACCTGTCGGATTGGATGAGGGTGCACCATAAGGAGCTCATTTTACCTTGATTACCTCTGTAAAGACCTTTTCTGTGTATATCAGGTCAGATTCTGAGGAACTACGGACTGAGACTTCAAGACGTGAAACTGGAGGGGCCACAATGCAACCAGTAACAACCTAGAAAGTCCCTGCGGTAGGAGGAAAGCCTTCGTGGCTGCAGGGTGGTGAATAAAGTGGGGACGAGAGTGAAAAGCTGGAGGGGGGCGCAGATCACGTGGGGCCTTGCAGGCCGTGGTGAGAAGTGTGGGTCTCTGCTGCTTGGGGAAAGAAGCCTCTGGAAGGTACTGGGTTAGGTGCCCTCAGTGCCTCAGCCCCCATTCTCACAGTCTTGTGGAGGATGAGGTTCCCCGAGGTGCCATGACCCAGCTGAGGTTTGGGCCTGGGGCCCTGCTCCTCCCAGTGCACAGCTCTGTCCCCTAGTGACAAGGAGGGATCCCCTCCAGGGACAGGGAAAGGAGCCAAGGACAGGGTGTGCATGCTGTTATGTCCCCGGTAATGGTGAGCTCTCTCTTCATCCTGCAGTGCCTCCGTCTCAGCTGTAGAGTGGGGTGACAGTAGCAGTGCCCCTACCCGGTAATTTGAGGGTTGAATTCTGTGATCTGTGGATCGCGCCCATCCCAGGGCCTGGCATGGAGACAGTGCCTGCACATTGCTGCCGATCGTTCTTGCTCTCATGATTCATTTCTCTCAGCTTGGGACTCCTGCTGACAGTGGAGAGCAGTGGTTCCAGAAGGGGTTGGAGGAGGATAACAGCCAAAGGGTTCAGTCGGGAGGAGACACTTGACAGGGCCATCTGAGATCGAGGGCATCCGCTGGGCCCAGCTGAGGTTGGATAGCAAGGATTTCTGGTAGCAGCCCTGTGGTAGGGGCCGGGAGATTTGGGACCTGCGGTGCCTTGGCAGTGGCAGTGCCAGGAAGCAGAGAGGGTTGGGGTGGGTGGGGGTGGCAGGAGAAGAAGCATAGCCCAGGACTGTCTCTGTCTGTGCTGGGAGAGGGCTAGAGCCAGCCCACTGTGCTGTGAAGCCAAGGGGCCCTCCCTCCCTCCCTCCTCTGTGCTGCCCTGGGGCTCAGTGACCTCTGTTGTACAACTGACCACGTGCTGTCCTGGCTGTGCCTTTCTCTAGCTGTGCCCAACCTGCTCCGAGAGCTCCCCAAAGACTCCATGTGACCGGCGAGTCATCCCAGTGGCCAGCCTCTTCCGTCAGGCCTGTCAACTGACTGTCTGGTGATTGAAAGGAGGAACCAGCACTCTCCGCTACTCCACCGTCCAGGTCAGTGGGGTTTCAGGGCACCTTGGGGACGCTGGGGAGAGGTCAGGCCCACGGGCCATGAGCTTGGAGTGCTGGTGCGTGAGGTTTATTGACATTGCGGTTCTGCGTTTCCACAGTCCACGTGAGGCCCAAGGAGCTCTGGGGAGATGAAGTTCAGCTGCCTCTCTTTCCGGCAGCCCTAGGCTGGTTTTGTCTTAAATGGGGTCAAGACTGTGGAGACGCGTTGGCGTCCCCTGCTGAGCAGCCACCGGGACTGTACCATCGCCATCCACATTGCTCACAGGGACTGTGAAGACACAGCCTGGAGGGAGCTGCTGGTGGAGAGGCTGGGGAGGACCCCCGCTCAGGTTCGGGCCTTGCTCCAGGAAGGGGAAAAGTACGGCCGTGGAGTGATAGCTGGCAAGTGCTGCTGTGCCGACCACCGCTCAGACACCTCCCAGGGCTGCCCCCGGGACCTTGCTCAGGAGTTTGGTGGCTTGTTTTCTTTTGAACTGCTGTGTGTGTGGGCAGTGTGGTTTCTTTCAGCAACAGACCTTCAGAGGGGCAGCAAGGGGCACTTGGCTGAGGGTTGGCAGGCTGAGGTTCCCCGACCCAGGGTGAACCCTTTCTCCATCCTGGGCCTCCGTTCCCGTTTGTGATGCAATAGGCAGGGTGAGCTCTGAGTCTGCATGTGGGGTTTGCCTGTGTGTATATGTGCTTGTGCGTGCATGCGTGTGGCAGAGTCCATGAGATGCAGCACAGCACACAGAGCGGGTTGGACTGGCCTCTGGACTCAGGCTGCCTGCCTGGCTTTATGTGCCTGTCCCACCCCCAGTGGCCGCTGCATACTGGGCAAGTCCCCTGACCCCTCAGTGGTTGAGGTCCCACATCAGTTCCGGTCACCTGGTGAAGTGCTTGGGGACCCGAGGGCCTCCAATTTCCCTGCAGGGGCCGGGGCCCTTGTGATCTGTACCTGCTGCCCTCAGCAGTCTGACTGGGATCTGCCTGTTATTTTGGTGGGGTTGTTGAGGACAGGACCCTCTCCTCCTGATTGTCCCTCCCTCGGCCTCTCCCAGAATCCTGCGGACAGAGTTTGGCACGTCAGAAGTGCTCATTCAGAGTGACCCACTTCACTCCGTGTCCATTGGGCGATATCATCTTAGTCTCTGATGGCTGTAACTTTGAATACCCATGTTCTCTGACAGGCAGGCCCTGGTTTATGGAAGGAAAAACATCTCTGTGCTTCTCTCTTTGTGTACAGGGCTCGTTGACATTGGGGAAACTTTGCAGTGTCCAGAAAACTTAGATCCTGATGAGGTTGTGGAACTGGAAAATCAAGCCGTGCTGACCAACCTGAAGCAGAAGTTCCTGACGGTGCTTTCAAACCCCAGGTGGCTGCTGGAGCCCATCCCCAGGAAAGGCGGAAAGGATGTCTTCCAGGTAGACATCCCAGAGCACCTGATCCCCTTGGGGGAGGAGGCCTGACGAGCGTGGGCTCCTCAGAGGAAGGTCACCGAGAGACCAGCTAAATCATGACCCAGCAGCTCGTCGTCAAACGGAGGACGTGGAAATCGGGTTCCGTGTGGATTGGCACCGCAGGGGAACGCGCTACCCACTATGTGCTGTTCATGTAAACAGCTTCTCCACTCAGATGCAGGGATGGGGGAGCGGGACTTTCCTTGCACATCTCTGGGCTCGGTGACAGTCTCAAGGACTTTGACCTTCAGGAAAAAGGGAAAGCTGCCAGGGAGTTCTTGGCGCTGCCACTCATTTTGGTCCAGCTGATTTCTGGATTGACCAAAAAATATGTTTTAAGAGGAATCGTCAGTGTTCTCCCCTGTCTTTGTTCTAGTCAAACTCATAGAGTGTTTGCACAGCATCCAGGGGACATTGTGTGGAGGCTGGGAGGGGGCGCTGAGTGATTGCTGGAGAGTGACCAGCCCTGGATGGCCTCATTCCTGATGAAGAGGACCTCAGACTTGGAAACAGAGCACCTGTCTGTCCTTGCAGAAGACTCTTGCTCTGTTGTAAAAGTGTCCCTTGGCTCATGGGGCATGAGTGTTAGACATGTTGCACAGCCACTTCATGTGTGAAGAAAGGAGCCTAAATACAGCTCTTTCGGAAAAGTGATAAGTAGCATTGTTTATTTTATAGAAAGTCTTTTTCTTTGTTTTGTTTTTTTTTGTCGTTTATTGGGAAAATTTCTAATGGTTGTTACCTATGAGCATGATGGGCTAAACCAGGCAGTGGTTGGACATCCCTCGGCAAATGAGGTGGCCCTACTTTTAGGTGGACCTCTTTGGAAGACCCCTGGCTCTTGGTCAAGAGACATTCAGCTGCTGATCAGAAACTTTCTGGCATCTTAGGGGGACCCATGAGGAAAGACTCTCCTGTTTCAAGATGCATGAATAGTGTTAGATGATAGCCCCAAGGTCAACAGTCAGGCTGTTCTGTGTCCTGACCACTAGGCCAGGCTCAGGGAACGAGATCTTCCTGGGCTTGCCTTGATACTCCCTAGCCAAGTCCTTGGCTGAATGTGTGAAAACGCTGGTTCTTTAAATGAGAGGACAGTGGGGACCAAAGCCTGTTTGGGACCAGGATTTCCAGCCTCCTCAGGCTTATCTGAGGAGGTGTGTGTAGTATCACAAGTTAGAAAGAACACCGGGTTACAATTCTCATTAGATTCTTTATTTACTCTCTCAGAATTTTGCATCATGGTTATAAACAGTCGTTTTTATCTGTCACTGGTCATCTGTGAGCTTAGGGACCTGGATTGTCCTTGCAGTGCTCACAAAGTACACATTTGTAATCTGAGGAGCCCTTGTGCTCCTCGTCCTCGTCAGGGGCCTCATTTGAGGACATCACTGAAAGGGCAGCCAGCAGGATGGAATAACAGGTGTTGTATAAGGACATCACCGAATCATGATCTGGGTAATGTGGGGGGCTGGTGGGTGGTTCCCCTGCACCCTCCCTTCCAGCAGTAGCCAGGGGCACAAACATACTATTCCTGGACGTGCCCTCCCCACTTGGGCTGCCTGGCTCACTTCGGCGACCATTTTCCAGGGCACATCTCACAGAACAGATATCAGAACACAAGAACCACCAATTGCCACTGGTTCCATGAGCTTTAGGGGCTTCCTTCTGGGCCATTTCGTCAGCTGCTTTGGTGGGTTCATTGTGACGGATTCGTGGGGAGCGCCTCGTAGCTGCTACCTGCTTCTTTCTCTTTGGAGTTGTTGCGCTGGTCCCAGGCTGAGCGATAATTCTCAGGTCGCCTCTTCTCCGAATGTTCTCGATGAGCAGAGGCTTGTCTTTCTGAAATTTGGAGTTACGGTACATCTGAAATGAAATCAATCCTGTTAGTCATCCTGGGAGCAAATATTCACACCACCCCCCCCCCAATCAGAATGGTCTTGTTTTCCTGGGGAGAAAAGATCTTTTTAACTTGCTGGCAAGTTTCATTTTGCCCTGGAGCCTGAGCTCACTCAACATACATAATACCTAGGTTAAGGTGCATCTATCTCCTTGACATTAAGTAACCTCTCAGAGTCTTTTGTCACACCTGCAGATTACCTCTGAGGGGGTTGTCGTTTCATAGGAACAACTATACCTTCTCATCTTTCCATAAGTAAAGTCTCAGGTGAAAAAAAGTTATCCTCAGAAATTAAGCCCTTTCAGTGCATCATTCATCTTGGTCTACTAGGAAGATGTTCGAGGGACGGAGAACATGGGAAACAGAAGGACGCTCTACTTTACCATGATTCTCTTGTTCCCTGAGAATGAAGAGTGAAGCGAAGGGTCGTTTGGACGAATTTTGCTGAAGCCGTAGAGGTTCAGTTGGCGGATAAAATTCTTCAAGCTGTCTGTTTCAAAAATTCTCCCTGGGCCTCTCTGATGAAGAATCTCCCTCTGGAAAAGATCCTCTTCAATGATCACGGTGTCTCCCTCGTCATTCCAGCGCACAGATGTGAAGGCGTCGTCCTCAGCTACCATCCAAAGCTTTCTTGGGAAGGAGAGCCCGAGAAGGTGGTGGTTTTCTTCCACGTGGACGGTGCCTTGGTTTGGATCCTGTGGTCGCGGGTTGTCTTGGGGGCCTGGATCTTGGCTTATGGCTTGGTCACTGTGGGTCTCCAAAATCTCCCTTGAATCCAGATTTGGATCCAGGGATGAATTAGATGGGACCTCTGTTGCTGGCTCTCCGTCACCTGATGGGGCCTGCTTGACTTCATCTATCTGGTCGGTACTCTGACTAGCCATGGAGCTAGTCTAGGTCACGAGCATTTTCTGTCCGAGACCAAATCACTGAACTCTCAGATCAGAAATGCCTTTGGTCAGGGTGGGGATGCCCAGTAAATACTGTCCACAAAATTCTAGAGTCTCTATAGTGGGGCAACCGGGTGCTTAAGTCATCGTTCTCTTTAGTTGTCACATGATGTCACAAGGGTGGCTCACAGCTGGTCTGGAGCAGGAGCCCTGGCCAAGTGTGGGGGAGGGGAGGGATGCAGTGTCCCAGCTTCTCTCTTTTCTAAAAGGAGAGAAACTTCTGGTTCAAGTTCCCAGAAAAGACTCCGGTCAGTCACCAGGCACATTGTTTCATGGGGCTGGGCCCTGGATGGGTTGAGAAAGCATGATCCTATCTCCACTCCCACCCCTAAAGACGGGTTGGGGGACCTGTTGCTGACCTCTCTGGTGTGCTCAAGGGCCTGGCCCTGGTTAGTCCTAGCTTGGCTCCCACCAAGACCAGGCGGGTCAGATGGACCCTTGGGGGACTGTGCTTCCCAGTAGACGGTGGTCCCTAGCAGGCTTATTTGCCTAGTCTGGGTTGATAGCCCCCTCTTTCTTCCTCTCGACCCCACTTCTTGCTTTGGTCTCTTCCTGCTGCTCCTGCTGGTTGGTTGGTCCTGCTCAGATGGACACAAACAAGGAGTCTTGCCCCTGGGTCAAGTTGTCCCCAGAGTAGTGCTGTGCTGGAGCACAGTGGGAGTGCTTCTGATGATCCTCAACCTCAGTGTCACCCAAAGCACCTCAGACAGTGTTACCCACAGCACCGGCGTGACGGTGGATGGCCACATCCTCCACTGTGCTTGGGAGGGAGTCTCCTCTTGAACTCTACTTGCCCCCAAATCTCATCCCTCTCCAAATCACAGTAGGATTGTCTTTAGTTTCCATTTCTTCGCCATAGAAACTCTTCTGGTTGCCCTGGATGAGCTCACTTTGGGAACACCTGCATGTGCCCTTTTCAAATCACCTTACCCAGCTTCTCGGATACAGCCTCCCTGGAGGCTTCCTCTAAAGCCCTATTTCCTTTCTGCTTTAGAGTGGTTTGGCTTCTGCTCTGCCAGATTTCTGGCCTCTCACTTCCAAATTGGATCTCCTCTAGTACTTCCCCTTTTAATTCCTTCATTTGGGGGTTTCAGCATCTATTCTGTTCTGTTGAGACAAAGCATTTCACTGACTCATTCCCCTGAGCCAGCCATGCTCTCCTTGCCTGAAGTCCACCTCCACCCCTGACCTGTGTGTTCCTCCCCTGCCATTACCTGGATGGTAGGTCCATTGAATAATTTTGTATGCTCTTGAGTTAGATACTTTTCAAAGGGCCTCCTTTACACAGACTCACTCCCAAGGAAAATTCCTACTCGTTTAGCTAGACGTGAGTAAGGAAACCAATGTGAAGATACTCATCACTGTGTATTTGAAAATAGATGAGAGTCTGGGTGTGGAATGGGACAAAACCCAAATGAAAGTCATCCTCATCACACAGGAGAGGATAGGACAGGGATTTTGGTGATAAGTGTTCTCTAGATGTTGTGGACAAATTTGTCCTTAATATTCACTCTGCATCTAGAGATAGAGTGGTACCATAGGAAGGCCCTGTCTTCAAGGATCCTAGGTGTTTGTCCTCGCTGCCACTCAGTAGGGTCATTTGCCCTCTCTGAGGATCAATCCTTTGTTTCTAAAAGGGGAGTGCAAAGAGGGTTGGAAAGAGAATCTCCCAAGATACCTTTCAGTCTGGGGACTGCAATCCTTAATGGAGCCCCCAGGTCAACATTTGGGCTTGATATGTGGTCTTTGTGGTTCTAAACAGGTTTCCAAAGCATTCATTGAAGAAGTCCATTTATCCTGTAGGGGCATGCCCTCAGAAGCTAAAAATTTTAATGGAAGCCATTGGTGGCTTCTCAGAAGGGGGCTCCTAGAGTCTTTGGATGAACAGCCATCTCCCTTCAGTTGCACACCAGAGTATTTTTGCCTCAGTGAGTTCTGTAAAGACCGAGAATGAAATTTCCTTGTGGCCTGTGCTAGCTCATGAACTCGGCTGATGACCTATACAAAGGGATTGAGCCGTTTGGTGGGAGAAGAGAAAATGACTCAGGAAACCAAAGTCTGGCATCCTGCAGAGAACCAGTATTTACTTGATATGATTTAGACTCTCGTATGTCCTAAGTCTTCCGTAGGACCGTTAGCTCAAGTCCTTTGTTTCAAGAGACACCGAATTTCCATTGGGGTTAAGAATCTAGGACATGAGGCTCATCTTGTCCTCTGAAAATGAAATACCCATGGTGCTGACTTCAGCCTAGTTGACGAAAGGCATTATGGAAATGGCTTCCCTTGACAAAGTCTTCTCAGTCCCAGAATTTCAATACTTGGCCCTGTGGCCGCCAGTCCGACAGTCTTTATTAGGTACCAACCATGCTCAAGACCCTTTGAGAGAAATGACTGGTTGGCTCTTCAGTGCTCCAGAGGCCCCAGAGATGACCCATAGGTGTCACTGCATTATGGACCAAACCCCCAGAGTCAAGTGGCTGTAGCACAGCATGGCTGATTGAGCGCTGAGGACAGCCACCCCAGAGGGAAAGTGATTTCAGTCTGGACTCACTGCAGGTTCTGCTCAGCCTGCAGCCAGGGAGGAAGTGCCTAGCTCTGGGCTATGGGGCCCAAGGCCTGGGGCCACCAAGGGGCAAGCCTGGCTGTGTGGCCTTTTTGCCTTCCTCTCTTTCCAGCCCTCATCGCTCAGGAGGTCCTTGAGGGTGCTGCCTCTTTACTGATCTCCCTCCCTCCTGGGCACCAGCCGTACCCCTGCAATTGGTCTACCTCACACCTGAGGTGTCTCTCTCAGCCATGGCTCAGACACAGGCCCTCATGACATCCAAGGCATGCCCTTTCCAGTCTCCCGGCCACTGCGTTCCTCTTACCTACTCAGGCTTCTGCCAGCCCAGAGGCCCTCCAGCCGCTTTCACTCACCATCTTCTGAGCTCCAGCCCCACTGGGCCCCTGGTGCTATTGTTTGACATACTGGGAGCTCCTGTCAGGAAGGGTCCTCCTGCTACTCCCTCTCTGGCAATGCTCTTCTCTGTCCAGAGGCCCCTCAGCATGTCGGGGTCCCACTCCAAGACCTCCTCAGTAAGGCCTTTCTCCTATCCCAGGTCCCCCTCACAGCTCCTTCCCTGGGGTTCCCACAGCCCAGCTGCCATGTCCAGTCCCAGTCATAGTGCCCCTGCCCCACTGTGATGTTCGGTGCATCGGTCTCCTCCTCCGGACTAGGAAGGAGGACCTTGAGCATGAACATGGCAGAGACCATCATGTGAACCCGGTCCCCAGTATGCATGTTGGAATGAAGGAAGTTCTGTGTCACCAGGAGCTGGGTGGGGTTTAGTGTCCTTGAACACAGCTCTGCATTGTAACAGTAATGATAGTAGCAGTCGTGGAGGACACAACCTCCTGCGTCACAGTGCCTGTGCGAGTGCTCTGAGGGTCTGTGCCATTTGCTCTTCAGCACAGTCCCTGGAAGGTACCAGGAAAGGCCCAGCCTAGGCTTGGCAGATGGAATCACAGGCCCAGCTTCCACCCTGAGGAAGAAGTAGAGCTGGAATGGGGCCCACAGCCTCACCCCCAGAGGGGGCCCTTCTTTCTGCCGTGAAGCCACTGGCACACTGCAGGACAAGCACCAAAGGAGAGTCTTTGTTGTCTGGTCACGTCTCATTCTGTAGTGGTCCAGGGCTAAGGGCACACCAGGGAACGCGTCCTTAGAGGCTAAAAATGGCACGGGGACCACTGGCTGAAATGTGCCTTTCTAAAGGATCCATGTGCAAGCCTTGTTAGCAGTCGGCCTCCCCTTCTTGCCTTAGACAGGGAGGCCTGGATTCTAGGGATTTCCACGAGCCTTACTCTCCTTTAGGGACGTTATCCCGGTAGGAATTGTGGTGTTAAAGTCAGTCTCAATCAGTCTCTCTCTCTGGTGTAAACTCTTTGAGGATTGGAAACAGAACAAGTCTCCTGATGATTTTTGCTTATTGGAGCCCCTGGAAATAGGAAGACAACTTGGGACAGAGAGGCCGTCTCAAGATAGAGATAGACTTGTAGAGCTTTAAAAAGCAGTGTTCAGATCATGTTATACAAATGATCCAAGGATGGATGACCTGTGTGTATGGGCCCCTAGGTTGTATATTTCTTGACAGCAATCTGCGTCCTGTTGGCTTAAAAACCTGCCAGCCCCCAACCCAAATTTTCACATGTGCAGTTATTTCACACGGTGCTCATACTAGTGGATTTTTGGCCCTTTAGAACCTGCCAAACCTCAACACACATCTGCTAAGAATAGATAAGATACAGCCTTGTGGTCCTAAGACCCAAGGCCACTCCCCGAGCTGCTGAGTGACATTGTTTTGACATGTGGGCCGCCTCTCTGATGCCTCTCTCCTAACAGCTCCCTTGCCTTCCCCCCTTAGCCCGGTCCTGCTGATGTAACAAAATACCACAGACTGGGTGGCTTAGAAACAACGCAAATTTATTTCTCACCATTCTGGAGGCTGGAAGTCCAAGATCAAGGCGCCAGCATGGTGGGGTGAGGGCCCTCCTCCTGGTCCCTAGCCGCCACCTTCTCGCTGTGTCCTCACATGGTGGAAGGGGCTGGGAATCTCTCTGGGACCTCTTATATAAGGTGACTCCCATCCATGGGGGCTCTACCCTCATGATTTAAGCACCTCCCAAAGGCCCTGCCTTGTAATACCATCATCTTTGGGGGTTAGGGTTTCAACATATGCATTTGAGGTGACACAAACATTCAGACCATAGCGCTCCCCTTCTGATAGTGCCCTCCTGACCCATAAACCCCAGGATGATCTCATGCTGTGAGGGACTCCCCTCTAATGCAACCCTGTTGAGGCACCATCCTGTAAATCTGGTGTTGTGTTGCTGCCTCTCCTGGTCATCTCTTCTTCCTGGGTCAGCCTCCAATCCCTCGAAGCCCCTACGGTTGGCTAATGAGCTCTTATGAAATCAAGTGTCTGACCCTTAGAGGCTGATGATTATCCGACCTGAGGTGTGTGTTTTTCAGGCGTCAATTGGGAGGAACTCTAAGGCTGAAAAGGCAGAAAGGGCTTAGGACAGCTTGTCACTTGGACTTGGACCCTCGCTGTCTGGCCTTGCAGTGTCTCGGCTTTCCTGCTGCTGCAGAAAAGCCACTGATTTTCTTTTGGACCTCAAACTGACAAATCCTAATTGACCAACTTTAACTCTAAACTAAAACCTAAAACTGCCCACGATGGCCTCTTTGAGCCTCAGCATGAACTGTGCTGGACGGAAAGCGGGCCAAGCTCAACGAACAGGTCTTGGACTCTGGAACTGTCGCAGATTTGGGATGCCCCTCTGTGGGCTCCAAATCTGTTAAAGTATCTTGAGTGCTGCCCTGCACCGTCTGGGTCTTTTGCAGATGCCCGCAACAAAGGGCTTGATATCAAATGGGACCAAGTGAGATGGAGCTGCTCGTGGGCACTGCATTTCCGAGGTGGATGATTGCACTCCTAACTTGGGATGCCTGTGCAAGTTGTACATTGGGGGCAGGCCCATCATGCGGACTGGGAGCCCTCCATGCACACCAGACAGATTCCACTCAGACCCCCTCTCAGGACATTCCTCTGCCTTTGACTAGACAGGTTGGTCGCAGTTTGCAGCAAGGACTGACTGCCTGGCTGTTTCCCTCACCTTTCTCCTGGTGCATGCACCAGGCAGTGTG